CCAGACACTCACATCCGTGTGTAGACAAATACAAATCGCACCTCCCTGCCATCGCTTCAAACTACATTCCAATCTCTGGTTTCCTGTTCACCGCCAGATTTCTTGGAAAAGTTTATCTCTGCTTTCTGGCATCCACTGGATAACATGGTGTCTGTCATCATCCTTAACAAAAACACGGCAGGGGAAAAACCACTCTTCACATTTCTCTTCATTGTTGCTCTACGGTCCTGGGAAAGTTTCTGACGATGACGGTCTAGGCTATCACAGAGCTGCAATCCTAGAAGCAGGAGCCGGCCTGAAATACTGAATTAGATCCACAGCCCCGCATGGGGAGCCGGAGGGTTAGAGGCAACTTCATCATCATAAACAACAGTGGTAAGGTGAGCGGGAATCTGGTTTGGGGCAGTACCCTCTCCGACAGGAGGGAGAAACAAAATTCAGACAACTGAGACCTCAGCTTAATTCAGCAGCATATAACCCCATGTCAGTAAGCCCCTATGTGGGACTAGGATCATAGAGCGCCCTAGTGCAAAATTTTAACTTTTTAAAGGCAGATTGCCTAGAGATAGATAGACAGACTAGAAACATGGAGAATGAGAAAGAGATTCATGTTGGAGGACTGCAGTGCCCCACCCCGGGCCACGGACGGGTACCAGTCCATGGCCTGTTAGGAACCGAGCTGCACGGCGGGAGATGAGCAGCCGACAGGTGAGGCAGCCGCTGGGGAAAGCTTCATCTGTCACAGCCGCTCCCCATCATCATGTCACCACCTGAGCTCCACCTCCTGTCACACCAGCAGAAGCATTAGATTGTTATGGGAGCCTGAACCCTACCGTACACTGCACATGGGAGGGATCTGGGTTGCACGCTCTGGATGAGAATGTAATGCCCACCACCCCCATCCTAGTCCATAGAAAAATTGCCTTCCATGAAACTGCTCTTTAATGCCCAAAAGGTTGGGGGCGACTATTGTAAGATATGAAATTTTAAGTGAAGGTTTTTTTTTTTTATCAACTCACATGGACATGATTTTATAATGTCTCTGAAGAATTAGACTCAATGCAGGGATCTGGAACCGGGGAGGGACGCTGAGTAACTGGGATGGCGTCCAGGCCCTCCACATAGTCGGTGTGCTATGAGAGTGGCTGACGGGACCAGAGGAATGATTGTTCCTGTTCTGTCCCCAGCCTAGAAAAAGCTGCCTTTGTGACATGCTTGCTTTTAAACCTGCCACCTCAGGCTCCTTCTAATGTAGGATAACAGAAGATCAAATGAGACTATTGTGTCTCCAAGAGTCTTCTTGTAGGGAAACAGCATTTTCCATCTTATGAAAAGAGAAACAAGGAAGGGGAAAGAAAAGCCCTCGGTGGCAAGGACAGTCTTCTTGCAGCTCCCACACCCATTTCCCTACATCCTTACCTCAGTGCCCCCAGGGGCCCTCCAGCACCCCAATGCCCTTGAGAAGGCCTCGCAAAATCTGCCTTCCAAGTGTTTCATTTTCCAAAATCACTAATATCTTCAATAGAATATCAGAGATCAGTTCCTAATTGCCAAAACACACACGAAAATAAACACATCCAACACAGAAAAAATGAACAATCATTAGAGAGGAGAATAACACAATATCCTTATTCAAATGTGAGGATTTGACCTAATTCTCCTTGCCGTGGAGGAATTTATTGTTGAGAATTTTAAGGTCACAACTGGAAGAAGAAAGTGTGGAAACTGACGACATGAATGAATTTATAAGCGAGTACTGTGAAACCGTTTTGCAATTAAAAAAAAAAACAGTACATAACACCTTAGTAGAGATAGCATCAGAATGTTAAGTTTCTTGGAAGCAAGGACCACGTCTGTTTTGTTTAGCTTTACCTAAGAAACACCTGCCTAAGTATTTGTTTTCTGATTAACTAAATAAATTGCTGATTTAATTTCCGTGTAATGGTTTTTTTTGTAGAGACAGAGTCACTTTGTCGCCCTCTGTAAGGTGCTGTAGTGTCACAGCCAGCTCACAGCAACCTCCAACTCCTGGGCTTTGGCGATTCTCTTGCCTCTGCTTCCCAAGTAGCTAGGACTACAGGCACCCGCCACAATGCCTGGCTATTTTTTTGTTGCAGTTTGGCCAGAGCCGAGTTCGAACCCACCACCCTCGGTATGTGGGGCTAGCACCCCACCCACTGAGCCACAGGTGCCGTCCAGTGTAATGGTTTTATTCAAACTGCTTATAAATTAGTTTTATTTATTGTGGAATATTGTGTTTTTATTTATTTGGCCATCTAAACATTCAATGCTTTTTTTTTTCTGGTCTTCCACTTCTCCACCATGATCCTGGAGATGGAAAATACTTTGGATATTTGTGACGGGAAGGGATTTAGATTACCTTTATTTGACCCACTTATTTTACTGGAGCTGAACAGCATTTTTCAGCTGTACCGTACCCCTATTCAAGGCGGAGTTAAATAGCCTTCGCTCGGCCTGGGATAGTTGTGTGCCCTGGCATGTGTTTGTGGCCCATTGGCTTCGTCTCAAGTTCTGCTTTTCCTCCAGCACCTGTGCCCACACGTCTGCTTCTGAATGTTGGACTTGCCCAGGCCCAGTGTTACTGCTGTCTCTCCTTTTCCTTTACTCTGGCTTCCTATGTGATCTTTTCCCATGGTCATGTAGGAGGCCAAGCATATGCTGCTAATTCCTGGATGCCTATCTCCAGCCTTGACCCCCATCTTGAGCTCCAAATCTGTGTATCTACTTGACATTTCCATGTGGATGTCTTACAAAGCAAATAAAGCCTTTTACTAAGTCCATATGGAACTTCTGATTTCCACCTCTGCTCTTATCACCACCCACAGTGGGTCTTTTCCCTAATCTTCCCTGTGTCAGTGCATCCCCCATATAGAGTATAGTACTGGATTTTTTTTTTTTTTTTTTGCAGTTTTTGGCTGGGGCTGGGTTTGAACCCACCACCTTCCACATATGAGGCCGGCGTCCTACTCCTTTGAGCCACAGGCGCCGCCCTTAGAGTGTAGTACTGTAGACAAAGTGTTGATGGTTATAAATCACCCACCCAGCTGCTCAAGCCACAGAGCTATCTTGGGTTCTCACCCACTTCTTATCCTCCATCTCTGATTCATGAGCAAATGTAGTTGTTTTTAGTCCTCAAATAAGTTGTGAATCTGCTTACTTGTTTCCAGTTCCACTCTTAACACCCAAGTCTAAGCTGCCACCACCTCTTGTCCAAACCAAGGCAACAAACTCTTTGCTATTGGTCTTACCCCTTGAAGAACTGGTCTCTATAAAGCAGTGTTCGTAGCCTTTGCACACAAGAAACCAGTAATGCCAATGTCCTCTGCATGTTTTGGTAGGTATCAACCACATGATACTTGAAACACCCTGAGAAGTGTCCCCTCTGTACTGATCCAAATTCACTTTGCACCTCTCCCACCCACCTCTCCAGACTCACTCTGTGCTCTACAGAGTGCTGGCCATCTGACAGTCGCTAACACATGGAGAGAGCTGTCTTGTCCCAAGGCCTGGGAAATTGCTGTCTCCTAGAATCCTCCCCTCTTTGCTATAATCCTTTTTGTTTCTATTTTGACAAGTTACAAACATATAGGAAACATATGTATACCTACTACCAAAAATTAATAACTTTTAACCTATTAACATTGTTCTTTGGATTTTTTTCTTTTTCCTGGGCTTTTTTTTTTTTTTTTTAGACAGAGTCCCACTCACTCTGTCACCTGGGCTAGACAGAGTACAGTGGGGTCATCCTTGCTCACGGCAACCTCAAACTCCTGGGCTCAGCTGATCTTTCTTCTTAGCCTCCTGAGTAGCTGGCACTACACATACCACCATGACTAGCTAAGTTTTCTATTTTTTTGTAGAGCTGGGGGTCTCAGTCTTGCTCAGGCTGGTCTGGAATTCCTGAGCTCAAGTGATCCTTCTGCCTTGGCCTCCCAGAGGGCTAGGGTTATAGGTGTGAGCCACCACACCTGCCCTGCCCGGCCTTTCCTTGGATTTTTTAATTTTTTTAATTTTTTTTAATTTTGAGACAGAGCCTCAAGTTGTTGCCCTGGGTAGAGTGCAGTGGCATCACAGCTCACAGCAACCTCCAACTCCAGGGCTTAAGCAATTCTCTTGCCTCAGCCTCCCACATAGCTGGGACTACAGGTGCCTGCCACATCCTCGGCTATTTTTTTGGTTGTAGCTGTCATTGTTGTTTGGTGGGCCTGGGCTGGATTTGAACCCACCAGTTCTGGTGTATGTGGTTGGCGCCTTAGCCGCTTGAGCCACAGGCAACGAGCCCTTTCCTTGGATTTTAACATTAAAATCCCAATGTAAAGAGGATGGCGAGTGCCTGTGGCTGGTTCCCTACCCTGTATCCCTTTCTCCCTTCCCGGCCCAACCCAACCTTGACGTGGGCCCACCCCACCCTTCCACTGCAGCCAGCTCATGTGCTTCAGCAGCGGCCACTGGTGGCCCAGTTGTGGCTAAGGAGTCATGAGGACGAGTTTCTCAGAAATTGTGTTACACTTTGGCCCAGGCCAGCCCGCAGGGACCCTGTGGCGCTTCCAGAGGCTCCAACCTCTCTCTCCTGCTCTCAATAGTTTGCCTTCAGGGAACTGGAGTGGGACCAGAGGACCCAGGTTCTCTGAATCCCTGCCAAGACCTACACTGAACGACATGCTTGTTTGTTCCGTCTTCGTCCCCTGTCACCTGCTTATCTCATGTAGCCATCTGATCAAAACCAAAACAACATCATAAAAAGAAGGGAACTGGACTTCCTAAATGTCTGCGTTCCTCTCTTCTCCAAAAAGAAAGAACAATGACCTTTCCTTCTCTGTCTAGTCACTTTGTGGCTGGTGTATGATTTTATTATAGTTGTGTGTGTGTGTGTGTGTGTGTGTTTAGACTCAGTGCTCCGAAAGACACATGAGTAAAGTCTCTATTTGGATATAATTTAAAATCTCAGTTCACCTCTCCCTCTCCCTATCTGCTTGCAGGTTGCGGCATGTTCACCTTCCTGTCCTCGGTCACTGCTGCTGTCAGTGGCCTTCTGGTGGGTTATGAACTTGGGATCATCTCTGGGGCCCTGCTTCAGATCAAAACCTTATTGGCCCTGACCTGCCAGGAGCAGGAGATGGTGGTGAGCTCCCTCCTCATCGGGGCCTTCTTTGCTTCGCTCATTGGAGGGGTCCTGATAGACAGGTACGGACGAAGGCTAGCCATCATCTTGTCGTCCTGCCTGCTGGGACTGGGCAGCCTCGTGTTGATACTCAGCCTGTCGTATACGCTTCTCATAGTGGGACGCATCGCCATAGGGGTTTCCATCTCACTCTCTTCCATCGCCACCTGTGTTTACATCGCAGAGATTGCTCCTCAACACAGAAGGGGCCTTCTGGTGTCCCTGAATGAGCTGATGATTGTCACTGGCATTCTTTTGGCCTATATTTCAAATTATGCCTTTGCCAATGTTTCCCATGGCTGGAAGTATATGTTCGGTCTGGTTATTCCCTTGGGAGTTCTGCAAGCCATCGCCATGTACTTTCTTCCCCCAAGCCCTCGGTTTCTGGTGATGAAAGGACAAGAGGAAGCTGCCAGCAAGGTGCTTGGAAGGTTAAGAGCAATCTCAGACACAGCCGAGGAACTCACTCTCATAAAGTCCTCCCTCAAAGATGAATATCAGTATAGTTTTTGGGATCTGTTTCGTTCAAAGGACAACATGAGGACCCGAATCATCATAGGCCTAACATTGGTATTTTTTGTCCAAATCACTGGCCAGCCAAACATATTATTCTATGCATCGACGGTTTTGAAGTCTGTGGGCTTTCAAAGCAATGAGGCAGCCAGCCTCGCCTCCACTGGGGTTGGGGTCGTCAAGGTCGTTAGCACCATCCCTGCTACTCTTTTTGTGGACCACGTGGGCAGTAAAACCTTCCTCTGTGTCGGCTCCTCTGTGATGGCGGCTTCACTGGTGACCATGGGCATCGTGAATCTCAACATCCACGTGAACTTCACCCATATCTGCAGAAGCCAGAGTCCTGCCAACCACACCCTGGATGCGCCTGGGCTTTACGGACCAGGAAACCTGTCAGCCGCCAACCATAGTCTGAGAGAGCACTTTAGAGACTTCACTTTCCAGAGCAGAAGCTCACTCATGCCCGTAAGACAGGAGGTGGAGAAGAGCGAGGAGACAACCTCAGCAGCCTTACTCAGTGCGGGGCTAAGCCACACCAAACACCCGATAGTCACAGAGCCCTCGGATGTCCCAGCTTTTTTGAAATGGCTGTCCTTAGCCAGCTTGCTTGTTTATGTGGCTGCTTTTTCCATTGGTCTGGGACCAAGTAAGTACTTTATTTTTTCTTCCTTCCCTCTGTCCCCTTATGAATGTTAAAGTATTGCCCTTGACCACCCAGAGCATCCATTGCTGTAGTACCTAGTAGAGGAAAGAGCTAGAAGCAAGTGAGGGGTACTATTGGTCATTGCAAAGTATGCTTGGCTTACATCTGCTTTTGAAAAGTGCAGGTCTAGTATTTAACTGAAGACTAAGTTCCCCATTTTCTGTCATGTGAGGCTCCTTTGACTCCAAAAGACTGGGGATGAACCAGACTTGAAAATACATTTATTGTCCGAGGTTGTTGTTTTATGAAAGTAAAGTTTACTGGGGTAACATTTTCTTTCCTCTCATCACTGAGTTTCTTCCCAGGAGGAAGAAAAGGCAAGCCGAATCATGTTTGGATTGGATGCATTTCAGTGATAGTGACCAAGGAGGGAACTGGGAGTTGAGAAGAAGGAGGCAGGCATTCTGGGAGGCTGAGGCAGGTGGATTGCCCGAGCTCAGGAGTTTGAGACTAACCTGAGCAAGAGCAAGACCCTGTCTCTAAAAATAGCTGGGTGTTGTGGAGGGTGCCTATAGTCCCAGCTACTTGGGATGCTGAAGCAGGAGGATTGCTTGAACCCAAGAGTTTGAGGTTGCTGGCTTGGCACCTGTGGCTCAAGTAGCTAAGGCGCCAGCCATGTACACCCAAGGTGGCGGGTTCGAATCCAGCCTGGGCCTGCCAAACAACAATGACGGCTGCAACCAAAAAATATTAGCCAGGCGTTGTGGCGGATGCCTGTGGTCCCAGCTACTCAAGAGGCTGAGGCAGGAGACTGGCTTGAGCCCAGGAGTTGGAGGTTGCTGTGAGCTGTGATGCCACGGCACTCTATCCAGGGCGACAGCTTGAGTCTCCTGTCTCAAAAAAAAAAAAAAAAGAGTTTGAGGTTGCTATGAGCTATGACACTATGGCACTCTGCCGAGGGCAACAAAGTGAAACTTTTGTCTTAAAAAAAAAGGAGAGAAAAAGGGTGCATTCTTCTTCTTCCTCTCGCTCCTCTTCTCCTCCTCCTCCTCCTTCTTCACAAGAGTAACCTCTCAGGGCACTTTATTACCCATCACACAAGAGAATGGGAGTCTAGTTACTCACATTCAACACAGGGCAAATAATCCTCCAGGAGATAGCTACAAGGTGGTTTCATTTTATATAGCCAGTCTGCTCCAATGCCAAAGTTTACTTTTTTTTTTTTTTTTTTTTTTTGAGACGGAGCCTCAAGCTGTCCCCCTGGGTAGAGTGCCGTGGCATAGCTCACAGCAACCTCCAGCTCCTGGGCTCAAGCGAGTCTCCTGCCTCCCCCTCCCAAGTAGCTGGGACCACAGGCGCCCGCCACAACGCCTGGCTATTTTTTTTTTCGGTTGCAGCCATCATTGTTGTTTGGCGGGCCGGGCTGGATTCAAACCCGCCACCTTAGGTGTATGTGGCTGGCGCCTTAGCCACTTGAGCCACAGGTACAGAGCCCAATGCCAAAGTGTAAATAGTCCTTTTGAGCAAACTCTCTCAGAGATGCATTTGCTAAAATAACTTGCTTGTTGCAGGACTCTCGTGTGTTAGCCTAACGCCCGTAGTCTGAAACCTCTGGAGGGAGGTTGTGAAGGTTCCCTGTACACCTGAAAACAAAGGGCACAAAAATCAAATATATTCTCTCTCTAGCACCTCCACTTCCTCCTTCCACGTCGCTCCCTCCGCCTCTCCTTTGTTCTGCTCCCTCCCTTTCCCTTTCTTTCTCAGTCCCTCCCTCTCTGTTACAGAGCTGGTTTTGAAACTTGTTGGCAAGGATCAAGGAGGCAAACGAATTGGTTCAAGTAAAGGGAAGCATTGGAGGCTGAGGGTCAGTGAGAAGATACAGGCTGTGCTGAAGACGGAATCTGATGGAGAAACGTAGGGCTCTGGTATCTAGAGCTTCTAAAAGAAGGCCACGTGAGCTGGCTTTAGCTGCCTATTGCTAGCTCCTAACTCGCCATGCAGGTGATAGGCACTGCAACACTGATTTTTTAATAACCAAGAACTGGGGAGACCGTAATCAACAAGATGAACATGGTCCCTGTCTTCTGGGAGAGGGCCATTGAATGGTCTGAGCTGCACTCTCCCTGTCTGCTTCTTTCTGGTCAACAGCCAGCAGGTTTGGCCTACTTAGGGCCAGTTCATTCATTAATGACTGACTTGCACATGGTTGATACGGCCCCTCCCAATCCAATTCTGCCTCCTCATTTTTCAGCTTCTACACCCAGTTAGGAGCCAACACAGTTAGTTCTTAGATATTGACTTGTTCAAATTCCAGTGGGGAGGTGAGTGAGGAGGGAGGATCCCATCAACCCTGCTCTTTGCTATGCCAGTCAGAGGTAGAAGTTCAGGCCTGATGACCTGTGGCAAGATTGGGTCATCTGGTCCAAAACATGGATGACCAAAGCTGGCCTTCCTCTGCATGACGAGGATATATTTCCCCATGTAAGGCTGTGGATGGGCAGAGAGTAAGCATCACGACGCCACTGGCCTCTGATCACTCTGTCTTGGTCCTGACACTTGGTTCTGCTTGTTAAGACTTGACAGTGATAACTATCATGGAGACAGGTTTCTACCATTATCTCAGGATTCACTTATCTTTGTTGTGTATCTGTGAGATACTCACGTGCTACTCTGATATTTTGAGCTAATGAAACTTGAGCCAGCATCTTCTTTACAACTTTATTTCAAGAAATTCTTTAAAGGCTATCAGAAGGGTAAGACATGGATGTTGTCTTGTACCCAGGAACAACTTAACCTCACTTGTGAAATATTTCTACATGAATAATTACGTAAGTTTTCCTCACGTGATAAGCTTCAGGTGGTAGTAATTGTTCCACTGCTTCCTTTGCCAGCATCTTTTTCCCCCTATAGAGTCATCATTAAATTAAAAAGATTTCCTTTTCACATCAATTTCCTTAATCCAATCTTTTAAAATATTAATAATTAACTAAGAATTTAAGAAAAAGTGTGCAAAGAGAAAAGGTCTTTCTTGGTGTTGATAGTAAATGTTAATTATTTTTAGCTTGGGCCCCTTCCTTTTAATTCAGAGAACCTCTCAGGATGAATGAGTTTTATGCTGTGGTTGTATATACGTGTTATCATACGGAGACATTGATCTTAAACTTCCTGGACTCATTCATGGTCAGAGTCCATTCAACCTCCAAACCTTCTCTCTTTAGATTTTGGGTAATTTTGAAAAATGCAGCAAATCCTATGTTTCAGGACAATATCCTTTATTTCAGTCTCTAACATATCTTTTAATTCCTTATTGTATTGGCTCAGTGCCTGTAGCTCAGCAACTAGGGTGCTGGCCTCATGCACGGGGGCTAGTGGGTTCAAAGCCGGCCCAGGCCTACTGAACAACAATGACAACTACCACAAAAAAATAGCCAGGTGTTGTGGCAGATGCCGGCAGTCCCAGCTACTTGGGAGGCTGAGGCAAGAGAATCCCTTAAGCCCAGGAGTTTGAGGTTGTGAGCTGTGACACCACAACACTCTCCCAAGGGTGATGGAGTGAGACTCTGTCTCAAAACAAACAAACAAACAAAAAAACACCTTATTGTATTAGAGCAAGAGTTTCCTGTTTGGGGAAACTGAATTGACTTTGGAAGAAATTACTGAAAAAATAGCCAGGTGTTGTGGCAGGTGCAGCTACTTGGGAGGCTAGGCAAGAGAATCGCTTAAGCCTAAGAGTTTGAGGTTGCTGTGAGCTGTGACACCACAGCATTCTACCAAGGATGACGTAGTCAAAAAAAAAAAAAAAAAAAAGACTTAGTCTCAGCTGGGCGTGGTGGTTCATGCCTGTAATCGTAGCACTCTGGGAGGCCAAGGTGGGTGAATTGCCTGAGCTCACAGGTTCTAGTCCAGCTTGAGCCAGAGTGAGACCTCTGTCTCTAAAAATGCAGGGCATTGTGGCAGGTGCCTATAGTCCCAGCTACTTGGGAGTCTGAGGCAAGAGAATTGCTTGAGCCCAGGAGTTTAAGGTTGCTGTGAGCTATGACACCATGGCACTCTACAAAGGGCAACAAAGTAAGACTGTCTCAAAAAAAAAAAAAAAGACTTAGTCTTTCTTTTTCTTTTTTGATTTCTTTTTATTTTTTTAATAGCTAAAACAAGTTAGACATTACTTTCTCTCTAACTTAACAGATGGAGCTGGAGAGTTCTGGATTTTTCTGGATCAGGCACCTGAAGCTTATAGTTTCCCCAGACCTTATGTTAGCAGTGCTTTATTTTTTTTTTTCAGCCAATACTTTAATATTGGTTTCTAGTCTATCATGATGACTATTTTAAAATAGCGAATTTTAAAATGAATTTTAAAATTTCATCATTCTTTCCTGATAGCTAAGGTCCCTTGAAAATAAGTAAAGCTCACAAAATGCAGTAAATTAAAGGGAGGTCAGGTATAGAAAGGCCTTGGGTAATCTGTAGACAGTGTGAGCCATTGCACCAGGGAAGCAGAACCACCGTGAGTGATACGGCTATGCGATTTCTTATAGAGATGAGATACTGCACAGTTGTGCAGAGAGAAGCTGAGACAGCAAAGGTCTGCAAGAGGATGAAGGCGGGCAGGGCGGAGGGAGTTTGTTAGCCAGGGTCACAAAGGGAAGCTGGGGAAGCTGTCTGTAGACAGCTGCTCTTTCTGCCTTTGGTCCCGTCCTAAAGCCTCTGCAGGACAGCGGGGCAGACAGGAGGAAAGGCTGGACTCAGAGCAGGGGGAGCCAAAGACAGCGGACCCCAGGCCTCTCAACCACATCCAAAGAGGAGGCCGCCTACAGAAAAACAGCTGCCTTCTCCAAGAGCTCTGACAAGGTGCCTAGTACTTGGGGAAGTTGCAGGAGATCTGGACAAACTCACTGCACTCCCAGCCCAATAAAGAGAACCAGCGCTCAGCAAGGAGGTGCACGATCTACCGTGGTGGCGGGTGGGGGCTGCACCGACCTCTCAAGCATAGGGCTGGTGTCACT